GAAATTATTCTGCATATCAGATATTTACATTACGATTCATAACAGTAGCAACATTACAGTTATGAAGTAGCAACGAAAATAATTGTATGGTTGGGGGTCACCACAGCATGAGGAACTGTATGAAAGGGTCGCGGCATGAGGAAGGTTGAGAACCACTGTTTAAGGTTTCTCCAATCACTCCACTTTTCTCCAGTCCATTGCCACTGCCCTAGTTTAGCCTGCCATCGTCTCTAGCCTGGACAATTGCCATCTCTAACTCACTCATCTACCTCGTCTACCTCTGGTCTTGCTCCCTACAATGGGTTCACAACCCTGCAGCCTGTGAGAGCACAAACTTTTCTGGCAACTATTCTCTTTTCAGAGAAAAGCCTAAAGTCCTTGGCATAGCTCAGCATAGAACAGCATTGCACAAGCTGCAAAGCATTTTATAAACTGCCTGCTTCTCCCATCGTAGCCTCTCTATACTCCTTCCTTATTACTCTTTCTCTCTATTTCCTGTAGCTCTCTAATTTCTTGCCTCTAGAGCAGTGGTTCTCCGCCTTGGCTGCACATTAGAATCACCTGGGAATCTTTTTAAAATCCTGATTTCTGGGCCTCATCCTCCGGAAATTCTGTTTCTTTGTTATGGGGTGGGGCCACAACATTAGTAACAAAGAAACAGAATTTCCGGAGGATGAGGCCCAGATATCAGGATTTTAAAAAGATTCCCAGGTGATTCTAATGTGCAGCCAAGGTTGAGAACCACTGCTCTAGAGCCGTGGTCAGCAAAGCGAGCCACATGCGGCCTTTAGCCCCTTGAGTGTGGCTCTTCCTAAGCCTTAGGAGTACCCTAGTTAAGTTAATAACAGTGCACCTACCTATATAGTTTAAGTTTAAAAAAATTGGCTCTCAAAAGAAATTTCAATCGTTGTACTGTTGATATTTGGTTCTGCTGACTAGTGAGTTTGCCGACCACTGCTCTAGAGAAATAGTTCTGAACCTTGCCTGCACATTGCAATCACCTGGAGAGCTTTAAAAATTCCTACTACCCTTGTCACCCCAGGCCAATTAAGTCAGAACCTCTGGGGTGGGGCCTGGGATAAGTGTTTTTAAGCTCCCTATATATTCCAATATGCAGCCAAGTTTGGGAGCCTTTGAAAATCTTTGTGTGTTCACTTTCTCTCCCTGATCCAATACCTATCTCAACTTTGTTTATTCTTGTCAAGTTATAGCTTCTCTAATTCATCCTACTCGTCTTTTAACCCACATACACTGGGAAGCCTTTCTTAACCACAGGGAGCTACTAGTATGTGAATAGATGCAGTTTTAAATAATGAAATTCTCAAGAGCTCTAAATTTATATCTATAAATTATCTTTTGGACCATTTGTTATCCACATAATAAACATTTTGAAGTCTCAACTGTGTTTGTCAGCATAATAATATACATTTACTAATTAAATAAACTACCACTGTCAGAGTTTGTGCTAGATGATCTATCTACATTATCTCACTTAGTCCTTTCAACAATCTTCAGAAAGTATTCAAATCTCATTTTACTGCTGAGAAAACTGAAGCGCAGACAGCTTAACAAATTTCCCAAATACATTCTAAAGCTAAAGTATAGATTCCAGTATGAATCATAAAAAAACACACACCAGAATATAAAACATACCAAGGTTCATTTAAAAAAAAAAATCATGATATTGTAAATGAAAAGTTTTTGAAATCCTTTAAACAAAACACTTTTTTGAAATGTATGTTTTTAAAATATCAGATGGTTATGGAAAAAAATACTCAGCAGCATAGCAGAGTAATAAATAACCATGTCAGAAATACCAGCTATTATAATGATTTTTTGACATTCTGATAAGCACATAAAGATTCAGATAAGAGAAATGGCAAATTTGTTTATTTTTGAATTAAATTGAAAAATAGTTTCTTTACAATTCTGATGTATACTTAAGGGGACTGCATTTCAAAAGCAATAGTTAGGAACAAAAGCTTAAATGGGATTTCTAGCAATTTTAATGCTTTAAAGGTCATATATCTTCTGCATGGTTGACAGACCTTCAGAACCAGAACATCCACCACACCCTTTTTATTCATGACTCCTTTCTCTTTCCACTCCTTCCCTCCCCTCCCCTCCACTCTGACAATCTCTCTTTATTTTTCCAGCTTGCACTGTGTGTTCACCTCCTGTGTAATTACCATAAATAATCAGCAAGATAGGACCTGTGTGGTACAACGGCCACACCTCAGTTGTGTTGTGAGCAACCACTTGAAGTGGTGGCAACCTAAACATTTACACACTTCTTTCCACAGACCCCATATTTAAGTATTTCACAACAGATAAGTCTTTTCAGATCCAATTGGTCAAATATCTGAATGCCTCTCCATGGTTAATACCTGACCCCAACGTTACCTTCCCCTGTCCATGGATGTATTGACTGGCCAAAACACTTGACTCTACATGCCTGGGATGGGTGTTGACTTCTGCTCAGAATGATTCCTTCAAATTAAAAACAAAACACAAAAAAACAATTGTTCTTCCCTATTCAGAACTGAGTGGGGGAAACAAAAGGCTTTGTTTGACTGTAAACCATGTAGAGCAGGGGTATGGTACCTTCTGCCAAGACTAAAGTAGAGCAATCAGCAACATGACTTCAGGGATTACAAGATCCCAGGAAAGGAACATTCTGGTATTTTCTTGAGCCAGATAATAGTGTAAAAGGAAAATATAAATAAATAAATAACACAACATCCCATTTTGGGTTTCTTTGGCCCATCCTCTGTCTGCTTAGCAAGATTCAAGCCTTTAATAAGTATCATTCTGCCCCCTCCTTGTGCTCTGTTGAGTACTCTGTGTGTCTTCTCAGCTGCAAGTCAAATTTTTATCCCAGTTCTTCCCAAAGAAAGTGTGAGTTTCTTTAGCATGAAATGAGTCCTCAGTTTTTGAGAATTGCAAAACCCTGATTTCCAAATCATTAATACCACCCCACCTCCACCTCATCTATAATAATAAGAGCATAATATGCTAATTAGACCGGACAGCCAAACGACCTTCCAGATGTCATTCTGGACATCCTTCTGGATGAAGCTGCAGTGGCAGGGGCAGAGACAGAGGTGGTTAGGGGTGATCAGGCAAGCAGGCAGAGTGGTTAGGGGCAATCAGGCAGGCAGGCAAGTGGTTAGGGGCGATCAGGCAGGCCAGCAGGTGAGCAGTTAGGAGCCAGCAGTCCCAGATTGTGAGAGGGATGTCTGACTGCCAGTTCAGGTCCGATCCCACACAGACCTGAACCGGCAGTCAGACATCCCCCGAGGGGTCCAGGATTGTGCGAGGGTACAGGCTGGGCTGAGGTGCCCCCCTTCCCATGCACAAATTTTGTGCACGGGGCCTCCAATACACACACACACACACGCACACACACACACACACACACACACACATACCTGGGTGGTGTAAGAAGACAAAATTTTGCCAGTAGATGAAACTGTATAAATCTGTCAGACCCTCTAACTTAAAATGAAAAAATTGTTGGTCAGAAAGAGAATTTATCTGTTCAAACTCACACTTGTCACTGGAAGCTAGAATAATATTCAAATCTCATGAGTTCCAGTCAAGTATATTTTTCTACACCTAGTTATCTTAGTGAAATTAATTTTGTTTATAAAGTTTCATAATATCTTTTGAGATAGCTGGAGACATGAGGATTATCCCCAAATAAGGGCTGGGGTCATGGCCAAAGAGAAGTATCAGATTTAATTCAAATTTTAAAAATTTAATTTTGCACTGTTCTTTGTTGATACTGTTACTGGAAAGGAGGCCTGGCCCTGAGGGGGTCTGCCTAGGGTGGCTGGTAGTGTGTGGGTTCTTGATTTCTTGCAGGAAAGGTTTCATAGTATGAGTCCAGGTGAATTTTAGAGGACATTTATTAAAGCTGGAACAAGGAAGGGCCTGGGATAACAGGAGAGGGACTAGATGGGGAAATGAGCCTACACCGGGCTACTTTGGCTCACTAAAAAGTCAGAGAAAAGAGTGCCTTGGAGACAGGTTCAAGGAGTTTGTCCAGACAAACTGCCAGTGCCTATTGTTAACCTGGTTGCAGCCTCATGGGGTCCCTTAGAGTTTAGGAGATGCGTGCCCACGGGAGCTGAAATGGGGTAGGGGGAGGAAAAGGCACAGGTGTGCTCCTGGGAGGGAGAGCATGCACTGGGACCATTGTTTTTTGAGGGTTTTAAAGGCTGGGAGTTTAGGAGAGGTCTTAGGGGAAGGATCTCAATAGAATATTCATCAGCTTTATGCTGATGTGCCAAATGAGATTCCCTTAACTTCATCTGTCCTTGGGTGTGGTTGGCAAATGGCACTAATTTGGATTTCTGCTATCTGTCTCCCTGAGCCCAGTGAATTGAGCTATTTACCCTCAGGTAGGGGAGGAGGAGAAGTACTATAAACCATTTACTCTTATTTTTTCTATCACCATTTATTCTCTCTATGCCCTCCTCCACCTCCACTCTCCTCCTCCCTTCCTCCAATTGAAATCACCACACTGTCGGCTGTGTCTATGAGTTCTCTCTCTTCTTCTTTTCTGCTCAATCCCTCCGCTCTCCTCACACAGCTGTCTGCCTGCCCTCTATCTATGAGTCTGTCTCTATTTTGCTTGATAGTTCAGTTTGTTCTTTAAACTCCACATAGGAGTGAAGTTGTATGGTACTTGTCTTTCTCTGTCTTATTTTACTCAGCATAATGTTCTTGATTTAGGGAAAATAGGATTTTCTAGGTGGCTGCAAACTGCTGTTTAACTATCTCTCTCTCTCAGTTTCCAGCACTTACCAGGGAATTTTCCTAGCTTCTCACTATCCTGCCTCAATACCAGATTTTTTTTTTTTTTTTTTTTTTGGTATCTGGTTTTTGGTGGCACAATCTTCTCTGGGTAATCTGTTTCTTATCATGATTTTGCAATGCAATTTCCACTGCTGCATTTTCCTTTGATTTGTCACCATCATTCTTTCCAGAATTGACTAACCATTACATACTGTGTATTCAAACTAGTTGGTACAGCTCGTCTGGAGGAACTACTGAGAAACTTGAGGAAGATTACCTACTTATCTAAGTGAGTTGCTTCTTAACTCTGTGTTTTATGTAGCTCTCCTTCTTGACCCAGGTAGGTGGCTTCTGAAATAAATCTACTGGGCCAAATCCATTCTGATAAACTTTCTGAAGAAATTGTTACCGAACTAAAGAGGTCCATTTGCCTGCGCATATCAGAGCCCAATAAGACACAAACAGGAGCTTGCAGCAAAGAAAGTAAGCGTTTATTTTTAGGAAGTGGCCATGCCTGGACACCAGTGAGCTAATGCTCACACCCCTGGCACCCACGGCTTCCAAGGGAGTTAGGGTCAGGGTCAGGGTCATGGTCCCTGCTGATTGGTCAACGTTAGGGTTGGGGATAGTTAGTTGATCACGCATCTGATCCTGATGTCAGCCATGGAATTGCTGCATCTGGTTTTACTGCTTTTCTGGGCCTGGAGCTGAAACACAATTGAGGCCTAGAAGTTATCTCTAGTTTGAAAGAAACTCCCTCTCTGTGGTCAACAGACCCAAGGCTTTGTTCCCTTCGATGATGATCAGAACCTCATTGTCCTAAGGGCTAAGAGATTAAGGGAGGGGTCATCCAAGGAAGAAGGAGGCAGGTAAATCAGTGTGCTAGATGAGGCCAGTTTGAATCAAAAGGAAAGAAAAGAGACAAGATCATTTTCAAAATATAAAATTCTACCTAGATACAAGTTCTTGTATCAGCTTAACTTCTCACTCATTTGCCAAATGTCAAATAAATCTTTTTGTGTCTCTAAAGACCGACTGATTTAGATGTGAACTTCATGAAATCAAGGCATGATTGTTCTCACTTGGCAGCACTGAGTTCAAGGACTTATCTATGATGTGCCATTCAATGCTGACCCTGTAAGCTCGTGTGAGGAGTGTATCCTAATGCAATTCCAGGATGCAATTCCAGGCTCTCTAATATCCTGGGTACCCAACAGTCACCATAACATGTTAATTAGCCTCAACTCTGGCCAATCATGCTACTTGTTTAACCTAACCTGAGCTTTACATTTGAAATGATACCATTTCTCCCCACTTCTAAATTTAGATGTAACTAAAAATATTGCAGTTTCAGACTGTGAGCTCTTTAAGGGCAATGACTATGAAATATTTAGCTTTGACCTCCCAGTGACTGATGCTTTAAAGCTATTTAATAAATGCTGAATCAATGAATGAATGAATAAAATGTAATAAATAAATGAATGTTTTTCAAATCCCTCCCATATAGAGAAAATGCTACTGATACTACACATTAATAAGGTCAGTTTTCTCTTCTGTGATAATTGTTTTCTTGCTCTTTCCCTAACTGCAGCTACTTTTCTTCCTCTCTGCCTCAAAAGAAACCATTCCTTTTCTGCTATGGTCCCAGATTATAGGGAATTGTAAGGCCTATAGAAGATACTGGTCTCATATATCAAAGTAATAAAGATAGGCTCCAATAAATTATTGAATATTTTGGGGGGACAATGATCAGAATTCCTGTTTGCAAGCAAAACTGACAATGCCCATAGAAGATTATCTGAGGCCTGAACTTGAAAGGGGCATGTCATTTCAAAGTTGGGGAGGCTAGCCTGGAACTCAGTGAGGAAAGAAATTGGAGGAAGGATAGGAAGGAGGTGTAATACCAACTGGCACTAAAATAGATAAGAGCTTCTAAATACAACCACAGAGGCATTTCATACCATCCCACCCCACCCCCTGCAAAGAGCTCTGGATTGTTGATAGTTGCTTAGCAACCACACTCCTTTTCATACAACCATCTTAGTTGATTGTAGAGGATTTGTGTATGTTTTTTTCCTTTACTCTTTAGGACTGCCTTTGATATTTGGTTATTAATCACATTTCAAATGTCAGCAAATGGACTATTTGTTCTGAAATCTGAACCCTACTCAAGACTGTGTATATGTATGGAGAGCTCTTTGTCACTGACTACAAAGACTAAAGAAAATAGCTAAGACAGACTTACAGTTTTTAAATTGCAAATAATGGGTCTTCTTTATTTCGTCAAAGGTATCACTATTGATTAACTAAACAGGATGAATATCAATGAAGATTAATTCTTAGAGTATATGAGTGGATAGCAAACTAGCTTAAAATTAAGACAGAGTATTTTATAAGTACCGCGCGCTAACCGATTGCGCCACTGGAGCTCAAGACAGAGTATTTTAAATGTATAAATCTTTCAAGGCTGAGTTATGCTTCTAGGAGTTTAACCTCAGGAAATATTCAGAAATGTAGTCACATTGATTCCTCATTATTCATTTATTTTTTTAAAAAATATATTTTTTTATTTCAGAGAGGAAGGGAGAGGGAGAGAGAGATAGAAAGATCAATGATGTGAGAGAATCATTGATTGGCTGCCTCCTGCACGTCCCACACTGGGGATCAAGCCCACAACCCAGGCATGTGCCCTGATCAGGAATCAAACTGTGACCTCCTGGTTCAAAAGTTGACACTCAATCACTGAGCCACGCTGGCTGGGATTCATTATTTATAATATAAAAAAAAAAATAACCTAAAGTTATACACTAACGATTGCTTTAGTAAATGATGGCACATCCATACTATAGATAATCTTTAACTAAAAATCAAACTAATGAGATATTATTAGCATCATTACTATAACATTGAAACTATATTCTTTTAAAGGGAATGCCATTTAGCTTTTCTATTATGTTTGTAAATATGTCCATAAGAAAAAACTAAGATTAAAGTAAAACATTAACAGTGATTATTTGGGGTGGTAAGATTATGATGAGCTTTGTTGTATAATTTTTTAGCTTTTTGGTATTTTTTAAGTTTATGATTTGAAAATATATTATTTTTTAACTAAAAACATTAATTAAAAAAATAGAACAGGCAAGTGAAGAGATTGACTATTTGCTGGGAATTCAGGAGCAGTGAAATTTCTCTCCTGCCCTCAGAAATACCTTTGCAATAAGCTTATTGATGTGTAAACTTTTACATTTAGAGATTCACTTCTTTGTCTTTTGTTTTCTATATGTTGCTAAAATGAAACTAATACAAAAGTGGAATTTATAATGGTTTACATGCAGAGATCAAAAAATACTTTTTAACTAAAGAATAAATAGCTTACTAAGGAAAGCTCAGGGTTGTCTCTACATAAAGAGGTAAACTGAGGCAAGCTCAAATGACCAGAAATTGATTTTGTTCGGGAGTAGCAGAGGAAATGTAATTCGGGAAACTCATGCTGTAGCAAGCTACAGACAAGTCAGACTATCAAGGGTTCAGGGCAGACTGTATTTATTTATGGGCACTGAGTGCAAAGAGGGGAAAGTCCAGCCGGAGTCCAAGAAGTAGGTTCATTGGCTTGGGAGTTTGGGGGAGATTCTTGGTGGATGTTCAGTGGTAAGGAGGTTAGTCTCGGTCTTCTGTAAACCACGCATTTATGGGAAATGAGACTCTGAGTTCTTATTAAATTCTGTTCTTTTGAAGGCACAATGTGAGATTCTCCATTTCATATCCTATGGTTCCATTGTAATATTTTTTAAATTGATTTCAGAGAGAGCAACAGAGAGGAAGAGAGGGATAGAAACATCAATGATGAGTGAGAATCACTGATCAGTTGCCTCGGCACACCCCCTACTGGGGATCGAGCCTGCAACCCTGGTATGTGCCCTGAAGGCAACCGAACGGTGATCTCCTGGGTCATGGGTTGGTGCCCAACCACTGAGTCACACTGGCCAGGCTCTGGTTCCATTTCAGATTAAAAACTGTCATAGGATCATGTAAGCCAGAGTGGGAAAGATGTCTTCCCGTCTAAAAGAAGTTTTTGCTGAATCAGTGGGCCTTTCTATCACAGCAGCTGTTTGCTATGTCGTCACTGCTTCAAGAATTCTGATGAACTCACATATTGGGAGGATTGCAGTGAGAAACAAACATTCCGATCATTAACATGTACACAGTAAAGGTAATTTTAAAATTCTTACTCTATATGAATATGTGTATGTGTATGCTTCCTTTTTTAAAAAGCTGGAGCCAGCATTTTTATTCTTAATTCTGAAAAATGAAGCAAAAGTTTAGGAGGAGTCATATTACCTTTTGCTTATAATATAATTTGCTAAGTGAGGGAGTGTTTGGAACCCGGCTTAAGCCTTCCAAGGCCCAAGAGAGCAGATTAGGAAATACCAGTAACTAAAGTTTGGACTTTAATTTTTATGATTATGACGTTTAAGGTAAGTACTCACTAACAACTTCTACAATAACTTCTACCAGCAAAGAATGAGTTTTGGTGCCACTTATGAACAAGAACTTTTGGCCTTAACATTTCAACACACAGACTTTAAGTATTACATGCGTCACCACACTTTTAAGATACATGTCTAATTCCATGTGGAAATTGGGGTTGGGGGAGGGAGAGAGTACCCATTGAAAACTCTGAGCTTTGGGGTAGGCTGGCAGTGAAAATAAGGAAATAAAGTAAAATGCATCTTGCCAATTCAAAAAACTGACCAGTGTTCTGAGGTAGAGGGCATTTTAAAAATTGCTTTTAACAACATGTCTTTGAAGTGTTTGCAAAACTGCTTGCAAAAGCTACGGTAATGTTTCTTAAGCAAGGAGCTGGAAGGGAAAGATGGGTGGTAGCAATGCTGCTGAAAGACTTCTGCACAGTCAAGTATGAAGCAACATCAAAGACCAAGAGCTCTGTGGTTGGACAGATGGGGTTGGAATCCTAGCTCCACCATTTGCTCTCTGTGTTAAGACCTCTATTCTCTCCCTGGCCGGTGTGGCTCAGTTAGTTGGAGCACCATCCCATACACTGAAAGATCACAGGTTCAATCTCTGGTCTGTGAACTTACCCAGGCTGTGGGTTCGTACAGGAGGCAACTGATGAATGTCTCTCTCTCTCTCTCTCTCTCTCTCTCGCTCTCTCTCTCTCCTTTCTGCTCTTTCTAAAATCAATAAAAACATATCCTCTGTGAAAATTTTAAACAACAACAACAAAACTCTATTCTTTAGTTTCCATGTTGTTAAATGTATAAAATACTCACTTTTCAGAATTTAAGGCATTACATGAAAAGCATTTTGCATAGAGAATGTCATATAATAAACTGTCAAAAATGGTGAAGATGGTGGTGATGATGAAGATGATAATGGTACTACTTTGAAGAAAGCAGGGCAAGAGTTGGGCAGTGTTTTCTACAACTGGCTCAGAGTTCTCACACTGCACCGTAGCCCTACCCATGCAGAGCTTCAGGGGATGGGACCTAGAAATGTATATTTAAAAAAAACTCCTGGTGACTGTATTCCTAGGCTAATTTTGTGGACCAGTGGAATTTGGTTGCTGGCATCTTGCTGACTTTTGTGGTGTGAAGGGAACCGCAACCTCAGAATGTCTAAAAGTAACCAGAGAAGTAACTGTGAGTGAATCATTGAGTGAGCTCACATTGTTCTTTAGGCCCATTGGCTCTGTAGGCCTGGTGTGAGGTTACCCTCCAGCTACATGCAAAGCTAGTGCGCTAGTTTAAATCATCCCAGCCACGACAGAATATGTGAATAAACCAACAGATGTTAAATCTTAAGACTGATAAACACATTGAAAAAATAAGTAGCTAAGCCTATGTTAATCCATAAATAACAGCTCTAACCTCTGAAGATACCAGCTGATGGGGACTCAGATGAAACCTGTGGCAGAGCTTCCAACCCCCATTTGCCTTCATGTTCCCATTAGTGGTCCTCTAATCCTACTCCAGAAAGCAGTGTCATCAGGGGGCTGCAACCCTAGTTCTGACCCCACAGCTTTCTGCCCTGTAGGTATGGGGGACCCATAAACATTTTCTCTGCCTTCTTAGGTGGAGGACTAGGCTCTGAGGATAACAAGTGAAGGCAAGGATGTGGAGAAAAGGGAACTCCTGCACACTGCTGGTGAGAATGTTAATTGGTGCAGCCACTGTGGAAAACTTCATGGAGGTTCTTTAAAATATTAAAAGTAGAACTGCCATATGCTCCAGCAATGCTATTTCTAGGTATATATCCAAAGGAATCAAAATCAGGATCTTGAAGAGATACCTGCACTCCCATATTTATTGCAATATTATTTGCAATAGCCAAGGTGTAAAGATAACATAGGTATCTATCAACAGATGAATGGATGGAGAAGATGTGGTATATGTAGACCATGAGAAGGAAGAAAATTCTGCCCTTTACACCAACTTGGATGAACCTTGAGGGCATAATCCTAAGTGAAATAAGTCAGACAGACAAAGACAAATACTGTGTGATGTCACATATATGGAATCTAAAATAGCCCCACTTGCCCTAGCCAGGTAGCTCAGTTGGTTGGAGCATCATCCTGTATACCACAAGGTTTTGGGTTTGATTCCTGGTCAGAGCACATACCTACATTTCAGGTTTGATCCCCGGTTGGGGCATGTCTGGGAGGCAACCGATGATGTTTCTCTCACATTTCTCTCTCTCTCTCTCTCTCTCTCTCTCTCTCTCTCTCTCTCTCTCTCAAATCAATAAAAACATATCACTTGGTGATAGCTGAACTTGTAGAAACAGAAGGGAGAGTGGTGGTTACCAGGGTTTGGGGAGTGGTGGAAATGAGGAGATATTGTCAGAGGTTAGAAACTTCCAGTGATAAGATTTACAAGTCCTGGTGATCTAATGTACAGCATTGGTGATTATAGCTAACAATGCTGTATTATATATACTTGAAAGTTGCCAAGAGAATAGATTTTAAATGTTCTCACCACAAAAAAGAAATGGTAATTATGTGATGAGATGGAGGTGTTAGTTAATGCAATGGTGGTAATCATTTTGCAATACATGAATGAATATAATCAACACATTGTATACTGTAAGCTTACACAATGTTTTATGCCAATTATATTTCAATGAAGCTAGAAAAAAAGACTAAGGAATATCAATGAATATTAACTGGATTCTAAAATAGAGAAAACAAATGAAATTGCTTCACTTATTAAAAATGACTAAAAAATGTTCTGAAATCTAAGCATTTGCTCCTTATCCAGAGTTCATGGAATGTATTTATTTTAGGTACTTTTGCAACAATTTTTATTCTCTGGACTCGTTCTGATATATACAAGGTGTTCCAAAAAATGTATATACACTTTGAATAATTATTAATTCCAATGGGTTAAGTTTGAAAAGAAAAAAACATCAATTGAGCTATCAGTTGATAAGTGTGTATACATTTTTTGGACACCCTATATTCTATACCAAGACTATTACCTACTGTGATACACTCAAGCTTATCACTTAGGCCAAAAGTTCTATTATATGACACAATTTTTAAAGGGTTGATAGAAAATAACACTTTTGCAGAATGTTTTGGGGTGCATCAATGACTAGATAATAATAATCTGTATATATATATATGTATATATATATATATATATATATATATATATATATATATATATGTATACACACACAGTAAGCCTAAGTGACTGTCCGACCATCCGTCTGGTAGCTATGACACGCACTGACCACCAGGGGGGCAGACGTTCAACACAGGAGCTACCCAGCTTCAGTGACTTGGCAGCTGCGGTTCTTGGGTACGCACCCAGAAACAGAGAGGAGGGAGCCCGATTCCAGGGTGCATCACCCAAGAACCGCCCTCTCGCAATCCGGCACCCCTTGGGGGATGTTGGAGAGCCAGTTTCAGCCTGATCTCCACAGGCCAGGCAGAGGGACCCCACCGGTGCACAAATCAGTGCACTGGGTCTCTAGTAATAATAATAATAATAATAATAATAATAATAATAATGTAACATTTACATAATACTTTACAAATTAGAAAAAGGCTCTGCAAATGCTGTCTTATATTTTAAGTTTTGAGAACCTTTATCTTTTTAGTTTGATTTCTGTAATCAAAAATAAAAGAAAGGGAGCAACATTAAAGAATTATTTGCCCAAATATATACAGGCATTAACTGCTGGGGTGGGATATTTACTTCCAATGGTCTATTGTCTAATTGATGATCATGACTTCACATCCCACATTTTCACTGTAAAAGGCTGACTTCATCCATCAGAGTTTGTATGTAGTAAAGAAATATTAGCTCATTGCAACCTTTAGTGATGAATCTAAAATCAAGTATGATAGTTCCTTTACAAAAGGTGTTACCAGTTGAATCAAAGAGCTAATTTATTGAATCCTTAGATAAGAGATGACCTCCTATCACAGTCCTTAATGTTTCATAATATCTTCTGTGTCCGTACAGAAGTATTATTTATTGGTTTCAACGATATTTTTCCAACAGATAGTTAGAAAAAGGATACTACCATATTTAGCACAGAGATCACGGTGCGAAGTTTATTTTATGAGAAATAAAGTAGAGGAAATGGGAAGCCTTATATAAAATCTTCAGTTATAATTAAAGGGGTAATAATAAAATTCTCATTGAATTACATAGGATGAGACTCAGATCCAATAATTACATAGTGTGTTTTAATAACACTGTATGATCACTAATTAGATAGTCCAAACATCTTCCCTATGAGGTAGGGTGAGTATCACCATCCTGTTTTGGCTATGAGGAAATAAAAATGCAGAGTAGTTCCATGATGCATCCAAAGTCATACAGGTGAGTCATGGCGAAGCTGAGATTAGAACCCACAGCTCAGATTCTGTTATTTCTAGAACTTGCTATTCTCCTTCCCCAGTTTTTATGCTAACAGGTTGTTCTTTATGACTTAGGATTGTTATCATTTCTGATTAAATGTTTTTATAAAAACCATGCCACCCATTGTACTTATAGCTTGTTTCTTCTGGTTAATTTAAAGAACTTGGTAGCCGTGTACTAGGGGTTGCCTGGCTTTTCCTTTGAATAAGCAGGAGTTGTAAAATTATTTCTCATATTTCATACAACTTTGCCTTTGGAGGCCTAGCCAATCCTTCTTGAAAATAACTAAAACACAATTTTGAAAGTCACACTATTT